CTAACTAAAAGTAAAAACAAATAGATAAAAATTTAAAATCCTATACGTAAAAAAAGCAAGAGAGACAAGGAGGCTTTCACAGAGTGTGCCTTACTGTTTGTGCTGCTTTGGGGCCCTGCACAATAAAAGGATTCTGGCAAGGGTCACAGCTGGGTACATGTGTGGCACTCAGGTGTGTGGTACCTCATGGCAGTGGTGAGGACAGAGGTGGCACATTTGGGGAGCTTCTCATTCTGCTGACTGCTCTAATGGGTATAAATGAAATGGATTCAGATGATAGTAGTTTCAGGAATAGCTTCCTTATGCTTGGACAGAAATAGAGAACACCCAGTTTGTGAAGAGCTGCTGGGGTGTGTGTAGGAGGGAGGAGGATGGATGATGGAGCTCGAGGGGCAGGGAAATAAAGGGGTTGCAGCCCTCGCTCAAACCAAACTGCATCCTCTGAACGTGACTCAAAGATAATTCTATAGTCTGACTTTCTGACAAAGCCAGGTGTTCACAGAAAATCATTTTTAGAGAAATACGTGTTTAACGGCCGCTGATGAAGCCTTACCCAGCCATTAAACATAACTTATTACTCAGGGCTGAGCTATTCCCTCAGCCCGAACGCTCCTTCCCAATTAGCCTGTGATGTCACGTTTTCCACTCTCTTCGTAGCACTTTGTGGATTTCCTGAATATTAAGTGCCGTGAGGAGGGAGCGGAGGGAGGTGGCTGCGCCTGACTCCCCTCCTCGGGCCCCCGTGGGAAGGGCAGGGGCTGGGAGGGCGACGCTCCTGCAGGGCACCCGGGTCCCGCACTGCCCCGCAGCCCGGGCACCGCTGCCCCTGGCGCTGGGGCGCGATGGGACGGGACAGGGCGACATTTTATTCGAGATTTAGAAAAGGTGATGTTGAGGAAACAAAGAACTGGTTGTGTTTAAAAGTCATTGAGAGGTTTGATGCAAGTTTAAAATAAAAAAACAAACAAACAAAAAAAAACTAACGAAACCACCGCGGTTTTTAACTGATGGAAGCAGCGCTGCGGGGCAGCTCCGCGGCCCCGGTCCCCGCCGGCAGGTCGGGTGTGAGCGGGCACCGGAGCCCCGCTCCCGGGACAGCCGCCACTTCGTGCAGAGCTCAGCCGAGCTGGGCTCCCCCGGGCTGCCCCTGCTGTCCACAACATTTTCCCGGTGGGGATATTTCCCGAGGGATCCGGGAGGCGAGGAGTTTGAGTTTCACTGTTTTCCCGTGGCCGTTGGAGGAGTCGGGGGAAGTGCGGGAATTCAGCAAAACTCTTCTCGTCAAATCGGGGATGAATCAGCGAAGCAAAAGTGTTCCCACCCCAGGGAGATTTTAGATCACTGAGTGAACTTGTTTCCTTTTTCGTAGCAAAATTTTTACAGGTAGAGCTGTCACCCTTCTCTGAGTTACTCAGCAGAAATGGAGACATCAAAACATCTGAAGCGTGAAAGTCAGCGAGAGAAGCCTTTAAAAAAAGCGTTCTGCTTTTATGCAAAACGAAGATCAGAAGAGCCTCGTAATGTGATAAATGCGGCGATAATTTCTGAAACCAGTTAGGAACATTTGTATAAAAATTATTTTTTAAAAAGCTAACTAGAAATAGTCTGCTTCTAGCAGTCATATAAAGTCTGTACCTGGTGCAAGAAAAAAAAAATCAACAAAACAACCCAAGCCTAAAAAAAAATAAGAAAACAAACCCCAAAATAACAACAAAAGAAGAAATTTTTTTAAGCGCTCGATAAATGAGGAGCAATTTTGTAAATAAAGGTGATTCCATTCCGGTTGCTGGGAGGAAAAAATCTTGGGGTCTGCAGCTTGTTCCTGCGGTTGGTCCCTAAAACCCCACATATTTCGCTGAACTCCCACTCTAAGATGCTGCTTTTTGTAAAAGTGTTTGCATGAATCTACCACCCAAACCAATGTGAAATAAAAGTACGGGTTAACATGCTCTGTAAGGGTACAGGAGATTAAACTATTTTCAGACACTACTGCACTTAAAGAAGTAGTAGTAGTAGTAATAGTAGTAGTAGTAGTAGTAGTAATAATAATAATAATAATAATAACAACAACAACTTCTATCCTTTTCACGAAAGGATTTGTTTTTCAACGATTTTAAATTCCTGACTGTGAGTGCGGCCAGACGGTGAAGTTCACTCTCTCTTTCTTCAGTGCAGCATCGAAATGTTTCAACAGGAGATTTTTCAGAAATGCTATTTTATATTTTATTTTTTCCGTGACCTCGGGGGCTGTAGGCCTGCTCTAGGGGAGGATTTGGGATCCGCCGACCGTCCATGCCTGCCTGGCTGCGGCTGCTGTCCTAAGCAGCCTCGGGGCAGATGGATCCCAAGGATTATAAAAACTTAAATTATCAAAGTTGATGCCGTATGATAGGAAATGATACCGGGTCTGTACCGCTCTGATCCTAACCTGCTCCGGGGTGGGGATCGAAGTATTATAATTTACAGTTATTCTTGAGCTTTGATTTCGTTTAAGGAAACAAAAAGCTCAAGGGAGGCGTGGGTAATTTCTTTTACGTGCACTATTTGTTTATGAGCGCGCTGGACTCGGGGATGAGGTTGTTTAAACAATCCGATGTGGATTTGCCTGCTTGCTTTAATGTGTCCAGAATTCTTCTCACTGTACTCATAATTATTCTCCTCGTTTCATGGTAATAGCTCCAACGGCCTCTTTGGCCTCGGCCGTAGGAAATCGGCACCTTGGCATGGGAACACCTTGTGATCTCAGCAGAGCAGAGGGACAAAGCACGGGCGGACGGATGGGCCCGTCAGGAAACGGGGAGGGCTCGGGGTTGGGATTTTTAATTTTTTTGGGAGCCCCGTTGGTCTCGGCTGGGGCTCCCCGGAGCGCAGGTGTGCCCGGGGACACGGCTGCCCCGAGATTCCCGGGAGGAATTCGGGGAGGTGGGGGAGGGATGGAGGCGCCCGGTGCCGCGGCCGCGCAGCATCCCGGTGGGCTCCGGTCCCCGCTGCTCCCCCGGGAGGGGAGCGCCGGTGCCGGGCACAGCCCCCGCTCCGCCGCGTGTCGCGAACTCGTTGGCGGTGCACACACTGAGATGATGTCTGAATAAATGACAACCCGCTAACAGCAGGGAGCACCCGGGCAGCTAACGGGGGTTCACCCCGTTAGTGTTTCACAGGGCGAGTGGCGTAATTTTAAATTGAAGAAACGTGGAGAAACCAGAACAAATCCGCGCGGAGCTGCTCCGTACAAGTCGCAGTAACCATATGGAACAGGTTATGTGGGCAGGCATTGAAGAACAGAGCATAAATTAATTCGTTGTTGTCGCATGCAGGGGTGAGTAGTACAGAGAAACAGCAGCAGGACTCAAACAGCGCTGACAGGAGCAGCAGGGCGGCCTCGTGTTCCCCGCAGTTCCCTGAACGCCTCCGCCTGCCCCTACCTCAGTATTTAATTCCAGTTACAGGGCCGGGGGTTCCTGCAGCCGCATGTGCCGCGGGATGCGGGCCCCGGGGCTGTTCGCTGGCTCTGTGGGGGCCGTGGCTGCGGGCCGGACGGGGACCCGCGAGAAGCGCTGGAGCCCGCACGGCTCGGGGGAGCCCGGGGCCGGGGGAAGGTGGTCGGACACTCGGGCCCCGACAGCAGCCAAGCGCTGGAATTTGTCCCCCGTGTGCTGCGCTCACGGACGACACTTGCGGGTGACTCCCGTGGCCATCGCATCTTGCTTAGGGCTTCCGAAACGGAGCCGGGCGAGATCCCGCTGCTGCTCCGCTCTCCCCTGCGCATCCCCCGCAGCAGTCGGGACAACGAGCAGAACCCTTGTTTTTTGGTCTAAAATCCTAAAAAAGGAGGCTGAGCTTCCCTTGCCGGAGGGATGAGCCCCGCTCCCGTCCTTCTGCGTGCCCCGGCCAGGCTGAGCCCGTGGGTGCCTCCCGCGATCACCCAGGCACGGTCACGCGTGGGCAGCTCCGGCCGTCGTGGGACCCCCGGCCGGGCTGCCGGGGCTTCGCCGAAACGATCGCCCCGTTATCCATTAGCGCCGACGTTTTCGGGAGGGATTTGGGCGTTCGGGCTCCCGCAGACGAATCTGGCTCGAAGCAAGTCAGTAACGAGCAGGGGCGGATTGCGGGTCTCTGCTGTCGTGCGTGACACAGGCTAATGGGAATAGAATGAATCACGTTGCACCGAGCAAAATGTCCGCGTAAATGATCTAAAAGTCCAGGGAAACGTTCCGCTTCGTGATGGGTTTTGTTGCCTGACCAGCTCCTTTTTGATGTTTACACCCTTTGACAGAGGCCGGGGGGGAGCCCGGGGCTGAGGGCATCGGGCCTGGGCCCCTCCAGGGGCAGCCCCGGCCGTCAGTGCGGCCCCCGCCTGCCCTCGGGCTGCCCGGGCTCCGCCGGGCCCCGGCCACGGCCCCGGGGCTGCCCCGAGGGCTCCGAGCCGCCCGGCAGGGACGTGCGGGCCGGCCGAGAGCATGGGCCCGAGGGTCCGTGTGCTCCGCGCCTGCCTCCATCGGCCCCAAAGGCGCGGTTACCCCGTCGGGGGAAGGGGATGGAGACGAAGACTGGAAAGGGAGTGGGAAAGGGACGGAAGATTGGTGTGGGGACGGGAACGGGGATGGCGATGGATCTGGCGGCGGGGACGGGGAAGGGGCTGGAGCCGGGCACAGGGACAGGGGCGGTCATAAGGATTAGGCCGGGACCGGGGCTTCGAAAGGGCCAGCGGTTGTTTGGGTGTCTGCTCTCCCGCAGCGAGCAGAACGGGTAATTTGCTTTATATGGCGGGGGATCAAATGCTGGGCTGTAACCCCCGCTGCAGGTACTCGCCCGCCCCGGCCCCTTCCTTCCTCCGCAGCCCCTCCCGCGCCCTCCCCCGCCGCGCTGACGGCCCCGCCGGGCCCGGCCGTATAATAGGCGGCCGCTGCGGTCCCGGGGCGGAGAGACAGACGCTGCCCGGTGCCGCGCCCCGTGTGCAGGCGGCGGGGACGGCTCCGGGCCGCCGCGCAGGGCCAGGGGAGGGGCGGCGGGGCGATGGGCAGAGCCCCCGCTGCCCGGCTGCCGGCCGGGGGGCTGCGCTAGGGCGGCCCCGGCGGCCGGGGGTCCCCCCGCGCCCCGGGGGCGGCGAGGATGCAGCACCCGCTGGAATTGGGCGCCGCGCGCTATTTCCCGGCCGAAGCCTTCCCCGACCACCGCTCCCACCGCTACCGCAGCTTCATGATCGAGGAGATCCTCACCGACCCCCCGGACGCCAAGGGGGCCGCGCCGGCCGGGGAGCTGCTCAAGTTCGGGGTGCAGGCGCTGCTCTCCGCCCGGCCCTACCACAACCACCTCGGTACGTCCCGCGGCTGGGGGGCGGCTGGGGGCGGCAGGCGGGGAGGCGTCGCCCGCCGGTGGTCTCCAGCGCCTTTGGGAGCCGGGTTCCTTGGAGAAAAAACTTAGGAATTCTGCCTACCAAAAGTCACTGCGGGGCTCTGCCCGCCGTGAGCATCCCCGCCGGCTTCCGCCGTGCCGCGGGCGCTCCAGCCGGGAGCAGCAGGGAGTTTGGGGCCTAAAAGCGAAGAGAGTGGCTTTGCGGCTCCAGCCGCCCCTGCACAGAATGGCGTTTGGATTTCAGGGAAGAAGGTTGTTGTCGATAGTTTTGGTTTGGGGTTTTCCCCCGTGTTTTTTGGATGAAGTGAGAACTTCTGGAGCCAAGCAGCGGGGTCTGTGCGTGGCTGCGAGAGGCAGCAAGAGGCCCTGCGGTCACAGATTTAGCTGGAAACCCGGCTTATGTGTAAACATAAAAATATATAATATATAGAGATATATAGCATATAAATATATGCTATGTTTATATAATAATAATATAGAAGATGGAAGGCTTAATATTATTGTTCATATTTGGGGTTTTCCCAGCGTTCCCAACCCCTTGTTTTTTTTAAACGGGTACCAGCATTCTCTGTCCAGTCGCATAGAGCATCCAGGACAAAAGCAGTTTATTAACATATTCAAATAGGTTTGGGGTTTTTGCAATTGTTATTGGTTTTATTGTTTTTTGCGGTTGTTTGTTTGTTTGGGGGGGGGGGTTGGGTTTTTTTTGTTGGTTTTGTTGTTGTTGTTGTTGTTGTTTTTGGGGTTTTTTTTGTATTTTGGGTATGGTTTTTTAAACGCTAGTGTTTAATGCATTTTGAAGGCTATTACTTAATATATTTTAAAGGCCGATATTTAAACGGGTGATGGCGAAAGCTTTCACTCCCCAAGCCATCTTTATCTGCAGAGTCGTAGCTCTTCATCCATTGATCTGAACAGAAAATTAGTATCCCAGTCTCATTTTCTGCATTTAAGAGACAAAAAAGGAAAGCGTCAAGCCCCTGAGCAAGGGAGCAACATGCGTTAGAATATCTATAAATTAGTATTATTTTCAAGATGAACTATTCACAACTGCTCGGAATAGCGGATCAGATAAAAAGGCCCTTCACACCCCTCAGGGCGCAGTTCCGCAGGGATAGGTGGAGCGGGATCGGACCCTGTAGGAAGGGAGGCGATTTCAGGCAGGCCGAGAAGACCCCGCAGAGACTCCCCTAAAGCCCTTCCTCTGCTGCCGAGGTCGCTCGTGTGTCGCTGGCGGGGCGGCCGGGCCGAGCAGCCCCCAGCCCACCCGCAGGCCGAGGCTCGGGAGCGGAGAGAGGGCGTCGGGAGGGACAAAGCCGGGCCGGGCCGGGCCGAGCCGGGCGACGGATTCGAGCCAAGCAGCGCCGGGCCGGATCGGGGAGAATTTAATCGAGCCGGCCGAGCGGGAGCAACATTCTCGGGGATGGCTCGCTGTCCTCTCCCCGGCCGCCCCTTCATAGGCTGCTCTTCACGGAGTGGGATAGAAATTATCATCAGGTCGAAAATATCCTGAAAACTCCTAGGGAGGGAATCCTGGGACCGTGCCCTGCCCCGCTGGTCACCGAGTTCAGCCGGGCCCGGCAGCTGTTGGGGGAACGCTTTTGGGTTGGTTTGAGTTATTTTCACTTGTACCCCCCAAGTAACTCCGTGATTAGCATGTGCTGGTGGAAGGGTAAAACGTGTCCCTGTACCGCGGAGGGCTCAGGACCCGCGGCGCTGCCAAGAAAGGAGGAGAAGGGGCCAGGGCTCCCTGCAGGCGCTGCTCCCCGGGCAGCCCCGGGGGTCCCTGCGCGCTGCCCGGCGCTGACCGCCCCGCTCTCTCCCGCAGCCGTGCTGAAGGCGGAGCCGGCCGCCGTGTTTAAGTTCCCGCTGGCTCCCCTGGGCTGCTCGGGGCTGGGCTCGGCGCTGCTGGCCGCCGGCTCGGGGCTGCAGGGCGGCTCCGCCTCGCCGCATCTCCCGCTGGAGCTGCACCTCCGCGGGAAGCTGGAGCCGGGCCCCCCGGAGCCGGGCAAGGCCAAGAAGGGCCGCCGCAGCCGCACCGTCTTCACCGAGCTGCAGCTCATGGGGCTGGAGAAGCGCTTCGAGAAGCAGAAATACCTCTCCACGCCCGACAGGTAGGCGACCGCCGACCTCGGACCCGGGGCGCGACGCCACCGGCCGGGGATCATTTTGCTTGTAAAAGTCGGGAAGCTGCCATCCGAGACGAAAGCTGCCCTCCTGACCTCCTCTCTCTCTCACCCGCAGAATAGACCTGGCCGAATCTCTGGGGCTCAGCCAGCTCCAGGTGAAAACCTGGTACCAGAACAGGCGCATGAAATGGAAGAAAATAGTAAGTGCCCCTTATTAACAGTCCTCCCCCTGGGCACGCCGTGTCCGCGTTCGAGCCCTGCCCTGCGGGCTTCGTCCTTCTGCACATCGGCCCTGGCACATTTAACGATAATTGTGATAGTAATGGGCATATTTAACAATAACGCTAAGGGTAATTGTGATAGTAGTGGGCATATTTAACGATAAAGCTAAGGATAATTGTGATGGTAATGATGGCGATGACGGTAATAATAATATGCCCCTGGTCTCTAACACCGTGCCTCCGGTCCAGCACCTCCTGGGCCCCGGCCGACCCTCCCTCCCGGTCCTGTCCGAGCTCTCCCCCCTCGGCTGTACCGCTTGGTCCCCGGGGCAGCGGGCGGTGGGCGCAGCCCGACAGGACCGGCCCCGGCAGCTTCGCTCCGGCGGACGGGAGAGAGAGGGGTTGCTGCGCCGAGGGCTGATGGCACCTCGGTTTGGCCGGGGTGTCCCCTTCCTCCGCCCCATCCTCGCCTCGCAGGTGTTGCAGGGGGGCGGCCTGGAGTCCCCCACCAAGCCCAAGGGCCGCCCGAAGAAGAACTCGATCCCCAGCAGCGAGCAGCTCTCGGAGCAGGAGCGCGCCCGGGACGCCGAGAAGCCGCCCGAGAGCCTGGGCTCGCCGGCCGAGGTCAGCCAGGAGGAGTGAGGGGGCCCGCCCCGCCGGCCCGAGAGGATGGAGGGCAGCTCGGACAGTGGCTGCGGCCGCCTTCGGCCTCGGGACGTTTGGACGCTCTGGCCGCACGCCGGCCCTCCCCGGCCCGCCGCCCCTCTCCGCACCCGCGGAGCGCCGCGCTGCGCCACGGCCCGAGGGGCCAGCAGGACACTGGATCCCACCATCCACATCTACTCGCTGTCTAAAACCCTGTGGTGCCCCTAGTTACTCGAAAACTGCATTTTATGATCAGTTTTATTAATGCGAAGATATTTACTTTATTTCAATAAAGTATTTTATGAACTATTGCTCTGAGTAACGTAATGCTTTGGGGTTGATTTTTTTTTTTAAAAATTATTGGTTTCTTTTTCCCCACGGAGGCAGGTTAGAGATTCAAAACCAAGCTCCAGGCAGGTCTGCGGAGGAAGTGCAAAGCGCAGTGGTACTGGAAGGATTCTCCCATCGTTTTGCGCGACGGTTCGGCTGCCCGTGGCCGTGAGAGGCCAGACCCTCGCTCTTCTCTTGGTCAAACCCGGATGCTTTCGGATTTTAAAGATACGTTAGTTGGTGACAAAAGGTTAATTAACTTCTGCACTGAGTATCCTGAATGGTACTTTAAAAAAAAAACCCTCTTCATGTGCTGCTGCGATGTAGCAGCAAAAATCCTTGTACAAAATCCTGGAACTTTGTTGTTCGGGTGGGAGTTTTTAAATTTTGTTTTATTTTTCGATTGTTTTCCCCGAGTCTCTTCTCCACGTTTTCCTTTGGGATGTTAAATTACAGAGCATCCACCGAGACCTGCAATTACTGCTATTCTACTAAGAAAAAAAAAAAAAAAAAAGAAAAGAAAAAAGCAGCAACGCGGGGAAGAACAGAGGAGGAGAGCGAGGGCCGGGGAGCGGCGGGAGAGCCCCGGCTTGCGGAGCCGGCTCCCAATTAACGGCGGTAATTAGCACTGGCGGCTCGGGGCCCGTCTGCGCCTCCCTGCCCCGGCGGGGGCCCTCAGGGCCGGGTGCGGGACCCCTTGTCCCGGGGCAGCGGCTCCGGGAGGCTCCAGCCCGTGCCCAGGGTGCGGAGAGCGCGGCCCGGTGGGAGCGGAGCGCAGGGACAGCATCGCCGCGCTCCAGCCCCGCATCGCCCCGGATCGCCGTCGGCTTTGCCTCCGAGGTGGATCTGCGCTGAACTCGTGCCGCTCGTTCCCGGTTTTCCTCGTTTCTCTCTCCACGGCTCCGGTCCCGCTGCCTACCACGGTCCGGCTCGGGACGTGCCCCGGATCCACCCCGGGTTAAATCAGTCCCTGGGATGGGCGGTGGAGGACACGGCCGGTGCTGGGTAAATAGGTTACAGCCTCGTACTCTTACACTGAAATGACTTAGATATTCAACCAAGCAATTGGTTGGAAATTTTTGTTTTGTTTTGTTTTGTTTTTTTAACCTGAGGATGAAAATGGATGCTGGGAAGAGGGAAAGCGGAGGGGGGCTGGCAGAGCCGGGGTCTGCGGGACCTTTCGGCGCGGTCAGGACACGCTGGGCGTGTGGCTTTGTCACTTTCTTGTCACCTCTGGCTGTTGTTTCTGGCGCTTTCAGTGCGCGTGAGAGCAGCACCCGGTTTTAATTAAAAGGGAGATTGGGTGGCCCATTAACCTAAACTAACAGGACGACAGGCTGTGTTCGTCACTGGTGTCACACACAGGGCTGGAATAGCCGAGCTTCACTCGGTGCTAGCGCCTTCGCGAGAGAATGTTAATATCTTCTTTTCACAGCTGAGCAAGTGACGGAGAAACAGTTATATTTTCTCAGATCATAAAGTGATAATTTATTTTTATTTTCAGCACGCGAAGCATTAAATAGAGTACGGTTTTTTTATTTGTGTTTTTCCTCGTAGACAGCCGAGAGAGGGCTGGGGATGCTCTGGTGGAGCTGCGGTTCTGCCGAGCCGGGGCCGGGCGGGGTCCGCTCCCGCCGGGCGTGTCCCGGTGCCGTTCCGCGGTGTCCCGGACCGCAGGGCGCTCTCTCCGCGGCTCCGCGCGGGACACAGAGGTAAACCCTTTTCTTCCTGTGCTGCGGCAGGTAAACTTCCGAGGGGGCTCGGGCGAGCCTTCTCTCGGCCTGGCAGATGCCCGAGAGCCCCGTTCCGCGCGGGGCTGAGCCCGTGCCCTCCCTGCGGAGGACAGAGCCGGGGACAGCGGCGGGCACGGAGCGCTGCCCGCGAGCACCGGGCACCTCCGGCTGACCGGCTCCCCGCCGAGCCGCCGGCCCAGCAGAGCCTCGGTCACGGCTTTAGTGACCAATTTCTGCTTCGGGAGGAGCCGGTTACAGCCCCGAGAGGGTGTGAGCCGGGCTGAGGAGCCCTCCCGCCTGCACGGCGGCGCTAAGGAAACCCACGGTCCTCTCAGGCACGGAAGAAGCCTGTTGGAATTATCGGGCAACATACCTAACTAACGGGATTTCTTTATTGGTTGGTTTGGTTTGTGTTTTCTTGTAATATGTATATATTACGTATATGTATATATAACGTATATGTATATATATACGTGCACTCACACACATATATTTCGATTATTTTTAACGATTTTACCTATTGCCTTCTGTCAAAATTTAAGTTCCCACAGCTTCTCCAAGTCGGCTGCTTGCTGGGCTGGCCGGAGGGACAGCAGCTGGGAGCCAGTAGAGAGGTGCGCTCAAAGGGATGGGGGGCCCTGCCCACGGCAGGGGTGGAATGAGATGATCTCTAATGTCCCTTCCAGCCCAAACCATTCTGAGATTCTCTGATTCTGTTTGAAAAGCGAGGGTAAATGCCACCGGCCGTCAGTGACAGCCCTTCCAAATGTGTTCGATAATATCCCAGTGCATTTAAAAGCAGGGCTGGGGCTCCCCCGACCAGCACCGATAAACCTTGCTGGCCCATGAGCGACCACCAGGAGATCACAGCAGGCTCCACCTGCACACAGGTTTCGTGCTGGTGGATAATTTTGGGCAGTGCCGCACAATAACTTCACTTTCTGATTGCCTTTCCCAGCTGTGACGAGCCCGGGCGGTGCCGCTGGTCCCGCACGCCCCGCTCCTCAGCGCAGAGCGGGGCCAGCCCCGGCGCTCCGAGATGCCCAGCAGGAGCCCCGGGGAAGATCCGGATGACCTCGTTCAGTGCTGCAACTTCTCCTCAGAGCCCTGTTCTGCCTGTGGAAATGATCTCACTCGGCAGCACCCCAAAGCTGCTGGAAAAGCTGCAAGGGTGATTTGCCAGTGCTGTGTAATTCTCGGGCCAGTAAATGATATTTGTAGCTAATACACCTGATGGTTGTTCTCTGTCTGTGTGTAAAGAAGCTGTACTACCACGCACATTCATTCTGGCAGAAATGCATCCACACTGGGAAAATCCACATTTTAATTACACCTGTATAGGTAGAACAGCATGTGTTTTCTCTGCAAACAAAGTAGAAGGGTATGGATTGAAGGCTGGAAAAGTGGGTCCTTCCATGTCTGACTGCTACTCGGGTCACAGGTAATCAGCAAACCTTTTGATGGTTTTCTTTAAAAAATCCATTTAAGGTGAGTTTCCAGTTCAAACATCCTAAATTCTCTTTTTATGAAGCATCTCAAAGAAACCTGAGAAAAGTTCTGCTTTTCCATCAATGTCAATTTAAATATAGCTCCACGGAGCCAGGGGGTTTGAAGCTGAATGCCATGGGTGTTTATTGAGAGGCAGCTCCTGCTCTGCCAGGACGGGGCTGCAGGAGCTGCCCCGCTGCAGTGGCCTTGCCCTGACTCCCTGCTCTGCACCTGCAGGCAAGGGCAGGTCTGTTCTGCCCTTCTGGAAGAAAAAATTCATCCTAGAGCTATGCTTTGTGGACACTTCTCACAAAAAAAAAAAAAAAAAAAAAAAACCAAAAACACAAACTTGGTTCCGTTTTTTCCCCCC